GCAAACTGGTATTGGTACCGAATCTGCCTGAACGCCAGCCGCGGGCGATTCTGTCACAATGTCAAGGTGAGGCACCACCCATACTTAAAAGTTGTGTAACCGATGATCGCATGTGATGTCGTCCTTAATTATTTTATACAAAAATAAGGAAATCCTTTTCGGAAGTTAATATCTATCGATTTAAAAAAAAATGTACCATAGAGGTTATAAACGTAACATTATCTACCAAAAGATTTAAATAAATAATAATACAAATATTTATTAATACTCATTGTGATATTAGGCCTCCCCCAAAGATTTCCAAAGCGATCGGTCCTGCGCCTCCCGCATCCAGCGGCTTCCCGCGACCTTTACCAGATCGTCGGTCCACCTTGTGGCCTATGCCCAGCAGTGGGCGTCTCTCGGCTGAAGTGATGATGATGATGATGATTGTGATATTCTTTAAGACAGTTCAAATTAAAGATGGGAAATATGAATGCAATAAAAAAAATCTGTTGCTACATATTTTAAAATATTTCAGTGTGCATCTTGTTAACGTTTGATTTCGACAAAAGTTGCTTCATTAAATATTTCATATAAATATATTAATTTAAGTGAAATATACTAGAAGACGCAGCGACCTGTTTGGATGTCACACGGATACAGTTTACACGTATCAAGGTCATTCCAGTCGATATGTTTTTTTTACATCTTCTTCGTCAAGTTTTAGCGAATTTTGTAAAGTAAAAAGGCAGATTTGATCAATTGTGTTTCTTCATTTAATAGATGCCTATTTATTTTAAACTACTGGACAGATTTAAAAAATATTTCACTTAAGGGAAACTAAATACGCGGATTATAATTTTCACGGGCAAAGAAGTGGCGGAAACACTGCTATTCAATTAAACACTCCCACATATACCCGTTATTAGATCATAATTCATCTTATTCGAAACCATTCATAGGGACAGCCTGTGATCCAGCAGTAATTTCATTGATAAGCCAGTGATGTTGACGACTTTTTGAATTTGTTACTATAGAACAGGGGTGGCCAACTTGTTTAGACCAAAGATCGACTTTTCACTGACGACACCCAGTACGACCTACCAATAACTTTACTTCTTAAAATCTTAAATGAAACAGCATAGTTCGTACACAATTATGTAGCATTTTGATTTTATTTATGTTTTTTAATTGCCACGATCGACTGGTTGGCCACCCATGCTATAGACAGACGCGACACTAGTTCATAGTTTCATTCAAAGGGTCCTTGAGTCCTTAATGTCATAATATTCACATAAAAGAACAGGAACAAGAGAGCATCCTGCGAAATTTAAGGAATTTCTCTACAAATTATGTTTTATATTAGTAACTAGCTGTACCCGTGACTTCATCCTTGTGGGACGTAGCCTAAGTTATCCCTTACTACATAAGCTATCAGCTAGTGAAAGTCCCGTCAAAACCGGTTCAGTCGTTTCAGAGATTAGCTGGAACGTAAGGTTCAGTCGTTTCAGAGATTAGCTGGAACGTAAAAACAAAAACTATAAAAAAAAATGTATATGTACCATGTATACATAAGTAATTAGTGAATAGCGGTTACTTTGAAATTACAAACGGATACTCCGATTTCATTTATATGTATAGATGACAGTGCAGTGCAGAATGAAGGTAATTATCTTCTAATGTAAATATTTTTCATATAAATCATTATTTTCTTCGTTGTTTTGGTATATATTTTTTTTCAAGAAATATTATAAAAAAAGAAGTCATTGCGATAATTACGATGTTGCTAAGGTTAATGAAATTAGTAATCTTGCAAAACAGTTGCATTTTGAGGCGACGCAATTTTTATCAGCATTGCTGCATTTATGAAAAATCTTTTTTATGTGTAATAATGTAATTGTAATAATAAAAGATTTATTATTTATATCTTTGTTAGCTCTCTACGTGAAAACTATGTATTCGATAGATAATGTTCGATAAGGCGTGGATAAGGTAAGAATATTTAGTATGGTCTCAGATTATTCATCATAGTTTTTTTTATTACACAAAGACGTTGTCTGTCTATTTTATTTAAAATCGAGAAAGTTTCGCATCTTTTTTACTGAATTTCATATTATTATTTCATTTCGTATATTACCCTGATTTCTTTAAGATTATTATAATGTATAAGATTTAAAATTAACCTAGCTTAGCTTTACACCAGTAAAGCACACCAGTACACTGTAAAACAGTTCATGGACTATGGACTTCATGCATCGTGAATTTTTCCAGTGCAGTTTAGAGAGAGCTTCATCGTAGCACCTCGGTGGCGACTTTTTTGTCTTATCCTGTTCTTTCACTCAGAACTGTCATTTGCTAGAACAAGAAAGGTGAAGGATATGCGATAGCATGACGTGGAAACCTCGAGACTATGCAATACGCCACATTTCTCGCTCTAGGTTAACTGTGGTGCTGCAACGGAATAGGATAAGCAACAGTAAAGGCGATAAAATGTTCCCAGTTGTAGCACCAACCTTAATCCATTTCGCACGCGTCAAGCAACAAAACATGGTTCGCACGTGTCGGTGACCGCGCGGTCCAAATCACAAATTGGATTGTGTAAGCTAATTGGCAAGTGGAAAGCTTTCTAAAGCTTGATATTTCAGTTAGTAATAAATCACTCAGTACTCAGTGCGTAGGTTAAGTGCTGGAACACCTAGTGGCGGCTGACAACTCATATCTCAGAAGCTGGTGTGAACTAAATTATTAGTAGTTAGATCAAGCAATAGTCGAACTTTCATTCAATGGAAAAAACATAAATAGCAATTGCTAGATGTTTGTTCCAGCACCTGTCCATATAAAGTATGTCCACATAAGATCCATAGTAATTCAACATACTGAATTATCAAACTTTAGGGATCCTTGCACATTTTTGTCACGACCGTCTACACTGCGTTCTTGCCGCTGGCGATTCTGAGTTCTTGGAGTGTGTATCCGGGTATTCTAAAGGGCGCCGAGGATTTACCACTTTCGGAAATTTCACCTTCAGCACGGGAGTGTATAACAAAAAAAAAAATAAGGCAAGTATTGGTATCTAAATATATATAAATCAAAGGTGACTGGCTGACATAGTGATCTATCAACGCACAGCCCAAACCACTGGATGGATCAGGTTAAATTGGGCGTTCAAGTAGATGTTATGACGTAGGCATCCGCTAAAAAAGGATTTTGATCAATTCTACCCCCAAGGGGATGAAATAGGGGATGAAAGTCCCCTAAGAAAGAAATAAAAAATAAAATACCCACTCCTAAGGGTATAGAATAGGGGATGAAACTTTATTTCTGGTATTTTACACGAAATAATGAATAAATATTCGTTAGAAATGCTGCTCAAAGTAACCTTACCACGCGGACGAAGTCGCGGGCAAAAGCTAGTTATAAAATAAAACTAACATTATGAAGAGGACATATTTGATTGTTTGTTTACAAACAAATAGGTTCCGAACTAATTCGATCGATTTATTTTTTTTTCACCTACAGGGAGCTAGATCATATGCAAGTGACATACTATACTTTAAGGGGACAAAGTCGTGGGAAAACAATTTGTAGTATATGTTGCTCATTTTCTTCTGCTTATTATTAATAAATCATAAATATATATATTTATACACATCAGAAGTGTTTTTCATAGTTTACTCTCAGTTTTATTTTACTTCAATCAGTATCTGCTCTATATTCGGTTGTGCTATTCCTATTAATCTTTACTTTCCTTCTTATCACATAAATGGTTTTGACGAAATACTTTAGTATTCCGTATAGCCGTATTACTTCAATTTTAGGAGTTGAGAGATATTCTTTTTTCAAAAACCTGACAGATCATTTTTTTATTTGTATCATTTTTATTTTACGACAATCTCTATCTGCTCTATATTCAGTTATCCCATTCCCATAAATATTTACTTTCCTTCTAATTAAATAAATGGTTTTGACGAAATACTTTAGTATACCGTATAGCCGCATTACTTCAAATTTAAGGGGTTGAGAGATTTTCTTTTTTCTAAAACCTGACAGATATTTTTTTTTATTTGTGTGCCTTTGAAATTAAGTTCTCATGAAATACCTGTACAATTTCTATACCCAAATTTTAAAGATTGGTTTTCTATTTAAAACAAGGAGTCCTTATTTCCCTAGTATAATTTTCTTAACGAAAATTAAACAAGTTTGGAACGAGTATAGCGAGTGTAACGAGTAAATAAAATTATTGTTTATTTTTTTTTATTGTCTGTATTATATTTCTAATGATCAATAGAGTTTATGGGTATCTGTATTAGAAGTGAGTGAGTCAGTGACGAATCCAGGTTACAGAGATATCATTTATGATCTATGTAATTGAAATTTTATAATTTAAAGTCTATTATTGACCTCATATTGTTTTCCAAAGGTGCGTTTTGTTGGGCTCATCTTGGTTGGCCACTACCATGACCTAAGATTTCCATACATTTCCATACAATGTTAAGTCATAATTTAACAAGACATACTTTTGTTTATCCTTACTGTATTTACGCATAATTTCTCTTAACATAATAATGTTAAATACTTTTAAATGGATATACTGTATACTGTCGCGGCACAGTCGTTTCGTTTTTTTTGTTGGTCAAATTTGTAACATAACCTAACCGATCAAAATTTTATTCCCAGTATTAGAATTAAAATTATGCAAAAATGCCTAAAGAATAATAATGTCAACATTAACTGTGTTCTAAAAACAATAATAACAAAGTATATAAAGCCAAATCATGCAAAAAAGAACAGTGCCTAAATTTTATCAGTCCCGAAATAAACAAAAAACTATAATTTCAATTATAATAAACGCCTTTTATCTAATGAAAAACTTGAACTTGACCATACGATGAATTGTAAATTGATGATTAAAACAAAAAAAAAATGATTAATGACTATAAATTTTAACGTATCACAGCATATTTATTACATAATAACGTAGAGTATTAGTCAGGTACAATATAAATCACTTAAACTGTTTACCACGCCTGGCTGCCGTAACCGCCGTACCCGTGACTGTTGTAGGCGGATTGACCGTAACCACCATATGCACTAGGAGCATAAGATCCATAATGCTTCGTCACTGGATTTTTATGGATACTGTACTGAGACACGGTAGATGTGGCGTGATTGTAGCCATGTCCACTGTTGTAACCTCCGTAACCAAGGCTTTGAGCGTTGTAGTCACCGCCTTGATTCCAACCTTGTTGTTGCCAACCTTGTCCACCTTCGTAACCTAAACCGCTAGCATAACCGTAACCACCGGAATATCCGTGGGCGCCAGCATATCCTTGTCCATTAGAATATCCATGGGCACCATAACCAGTGGAATACGGCACGGAGGGTGAAATTTCTTTGGTTATGGAGACGTGAGAGACGGCTCCATGTTGACCTACGCCTCCATAGCTAGCTCCGTATCCGCTGTGGCTTGCATAGTTATTGTATCCTGCATCACTGCTGTATCCCACATCACTGTATCCTGTTGCGTATCCTCCAACATTCCATCCACCGTTATTTAGACCGGAGTTGAGTAATGCACCAGCCTTAGCCAAACCAAACAGGCAGGCAATCACAGCTATCTATAAAACAAAACACCATAGTAATTTATATTTATTATCGACCAAAATTTATCATAATTATGTATAAATATTAATAGAACTGTACCTTTGAGAGCATTGTGATGATAATTCTTCAAATGTAATGAGTGAAGTATTATATGTTCTATTGTAACTCGCTTTTATACTAAAACCGACGAATACAAACATAGTTTTTCAAGGTTCAATTAGATTTTGAGAAAACGGAGCGTAACGAATTTTAATCATGAGAATACTTACGAGTTCATTATATCTAACAACATTGTTGCGTTAAATTCTTAACTAAAACGTGTGGATACTTGAATTCAAATAATTCTATCAAGAATCTGAGGGGCTCTTCAGAATTGATGATTCCCATCTCTATATTATGAATTCCCAAATAATCAGGAATAATAATGACAGACAAATTGTTTGTTGAATCAACGGAAATACATAACATTGTTTACTTATAAATAATGATATTTTTGGTATACGTAAATACAATCTGTACTGATATTTTTCTATAACTGTTCATGTTTCGAAATAATAAGTTTACTTGTCTTCATATGATATGATTTTATGACGGGAATAAATATGTTATTTATTTGTTAATTGCACATTTATTGATCATATTTCAAAATAAAGTCTATTAAGACGTAAAGTATGAAACATTAAGTAGAAATTTGCACATTTAACATATATATTTGCGTTAAGTAATTTTTTTAATCGTCCATGTCAGCGTCGTTGCTTAACAAACGTATTAATTACTTATGAAACGGTTAAATACAAAATTTTGGTTAGACATTGTGAAGCTGTTGATTTAATATCGCATTGGGAGATATGCTTTTTTAATTAAAAAACTTGAGACAAAATTATGTTGTACACTGGTCTACTAAATTATCTATAGAAAATGCCTTTATATATGTATCTAGAAAATGTGTATATTTTTCTCTTTACGAAAATGTTTTTAGACATTTATGAAGATCGTCTTTTAATGTTAATCGTGTTTAAGCTAAAAATGTATTGATTGATATAATTTATTTTAACCAACTCCATGTTTAAAACTGAAGTATAAAAAACTTACACATACACGACCTTGTACTAGACGACCGTGTACTTCAGGGCTCTTCAACTGCACACCAGCTAAATCTGATCATAGTCGGTTAGTCTTCTTATAAAAATGTACTTATTTGTATTCTCGTATAATCTGGGCTCTAGTATCTGGCCAAGAATTTCTGGTGACAACGAATTGTTAACGTTATGACATAACGGACCTTATAAAATCATTTTACAGTTTAAAAAAATGAAAAACCTATTAAAAATGAAAAGCCAATGTAATATCTATATCGTTTAATGTTACAAATCACAGAATAAAATGTTAGGAAAATGATCGTTCTTTACCATGCGTATTTACCGTAGCCGCTGTAACCGTAAGAAACAGCTGGAGCGTAGGAGTGACTCAAAACTGGGTTAGAGTAGGCTAATGAGACGGGGGCGTAAGATTTGACTATTGGGGCATAAGATTTGACTATAGGGGCGTAAGATTTGACTATGGGGGCGTAAGATTTGACTAAAGGAGCTGAGTGAACGCTGTATTGGGATACAGAGGATACAGCGGGGGCAGTGTAAGCGATTGGAGCGATTGTTTTTACGACAGGGACGGAGTATGCCGCAGGGGCTGTGTAAGCGACAGGAGCGATGTCATAACCGCTACTGAAGGCGCTGCCGTAAGCACTTCCATAGGCATTTCCGTAGCTACCGTAGGCAGCTCCATAAAGGTTTCCGGCGTGAACTAGGCCGAACAAGCAAATGAGGGCGGCGACCTGAGATAGAAAGAAAAGAGTTGATTAACAAAGCTGTTTCTTATTACCTGGTCTGGTCCTTGATCGCAGTGGTTTAATAAAAAGTTTTTATTTAATCTTCAATATTTTTTTTTCCAAATTATTTTAGAATGAAAAAATATGTAGGCGGTTTAAAAATCTCACCTTAGCGACCATTTTGTTTTCGACAAGTACGATGAGTAGAATGAATTTTAGAAACAAAAATGTTCATTTATATAGTAAAAACTCGGAAATCGGCCTCGCCATTGTCAAGGCTCTATATATTTTTTACTAAATTGCTTCAAATTATATCACTAAAAATGTGTAAAAGCCCTCGGTTTTAATATTAATATTTAATTTTTATTGCGTGCGAAGTATGGAGTTGAAGGTTGTAGTAAACCACCCGCTAAAGAATCAATTAAATTTTCGTGCGGAGCTACGGAAGAATACTTTAATTGTTTTCAATAGCCGACACGAAATTATGCAAAATTATATCTTATACGAGTATATAAATGCATCTTAAGAGAATACTGCACTCCTTATTCAGATGTAAACAATCTGCGATACCGCGTTTGTTTGCTGTAGAAAAAGTAAATTCTACTTGTCTACATATTGTCTTTGCACGATTAATATAAAAAGAGTTCTTAATGAAAAACGCTTAAAAAATCCACTTTGTCCCTGGCAATCACCCGGGTTGCGAAGGGTCGGATTCGAATTTCATCTCAGAGTACCAGGTACAAAGCGGATTTTAAAGCAATTTTCATTAATATATTTTGTGGATGCAAAATTGATCAAATCATTATTATAATGAAAAGAGTTTATCCTAAAGAGTTTTAATGTTTGGTTTTCCCCCAGTGTCATAGGTGTACACTACAATAAAACTTACTTTTCTCGTACACTACCACGAAAGCGTATTGGAAGCGAACCACTAGCATAGCGGCGTATCTCGTATGAATGTGATCGATACATTTCTTATAGCAACTAAATCCAAGAAATCAGCACACCTTGATTTCGTTTCAAATTCACAGATATTGACAATTCGGGCATCAAGTGTGATGTGTATATCCTACTAATATTATAAAGGTGAAAGTTTGTAGATTTAGATGTTTGTTACTTCTTCACGCAAAAAATTCTGAACGGATTTCATAAACATTTGGTATAAGGATAGTTCTTAGTCTGGATTAACATATTGGCTTCATTTCATTCCACTAACAGGTTCCCTAGGAATAGAATATCCAAAGGCGCCTATTTTTGTGAACGCTGACAAAACGGTAAGAGATATATGAATGCTTTCTTAAGAAAAGTTGGAGAGATTTAAATTGTTTATATAAAAGTCCACGATGGGTTAAGACTGCGTTACTTAATACAATTCAAGACGATAATCCTAAGAAAATTATCCGGAGTAGTTAACGGCTCATGTAGTATTAGAGAAAGATGAAAAATATTAGCTGGATGGAACTTCAATCAATTGAATAAGTGCTGGTATCATCAACGAAAAGAGACGGTTGCTAGAGCTACCGTGTAACTTCATTGACTTCGATTTGGTTGATATTGGATTGCACTCAATATTCATATGTATTGTTAGATCAAATATGTTTGTTAACGATAGCTCTAAATAAAGAATTTATGATGAAAAAATGGGATTTAGGGAACCAAAATAATGAAACCAGGATTGGGCTGAGTGACAACTATAATTTTTTGGAATGTAAAACAAAATTACGTACAAAATCAATAAAAAAGTAAAAAAAAGCTTCAAAAAGGATGATTGGCTGGTTCATGGTTGGTAACAATGTTAATATCTCGGATTGAACCCAATACAATCAAACGTTGAGTGCATTTTGATTGAATTCAATATCACTAAAATCGAAGCCAAATTCGTCATGAAGTAGGCCTGCTGAAAACCATAGAATAAAGTAAAGAAAGAATGTATGGACAATTCATACGATCGACAAAAGGACTTATTTTAAGAAGTAAAAATAAGCTAACGATAAATAAAACTTTGATTGTGAAGCTATCGAGAATCATACACAAACGAAGGGCAGTTACGATAATTGCGTTTAGCAAAATGTCATTTCACACTAGCTCAGAAACTCGGGACATTATTGCATCAGTATATTCCGGCCCAACACAATAATAGAAATAAACATGAGCTGTGTGCATAGGCTGAGATATTCCCTGCAAATGACATTGTAAAAAAACCGGCTAAATGCGTATCGAGAAAAAAAGCACGTTAGCTATGTAGCCTGATACAAATACCAACTTTCAGTATGGAGATCAAACATTAAAATATAACAGCTGTTTTTTTATTATTATGAGGGTATCATATATTTCCTTTTTAATATATGAATTAATCCAGCGACGTTTATTTTCGGATTATTAGTAAAAAAAATAAAATTCCTTTGATTTGTCAATGGCATGATAAGCAAAATACATATAAAGTGACTTCTACGTATTTTCACATTGTTACTTATGTTACTTCCATGAAATACATAAATCTTCCTAATTTTATATTTGGAAACTCATATTTTTATATAACACGGACAATAAAATAATAATCAATAATATTAACAATGAAATTCGACTTCAATCGATATTACTATATTGCGTTAAGTATATTTTGTTTTAAATCCAATGAAAATTTCCATGGGAATATTGCATACCAATATTCCTTCTCCGTCCGTCGAGCCGGATCCGAGGCATTTTATTACGCCCATAACAGCGTTTAAGTGTTTTGGAGGAGACAGGCAAGGTAAACGTGATACTGAGGAAGGAGTCGCCATTGCGCCATATTGACCACAAGTAAGTGCAGTGCCTCTCCCCTTATATTTCCATTTATTTCGTACTTGTCACCAGCTCTTACCTCGCGAAAACCCGCTAATTTAATTAATCATTTTTCTTGACCGCACCTTACAGTCCACCCACGTTTTTAAGGAGATTTCGATCTCCCTCCCTGCGTAGCCTGCCTAAGGCCATAAAGGGCGCATTCACACATATTCTACTAAATATCATTAAAATCCACTCATATAGCTTAAATCTTCTATTTTTCGTATTGTTATTAAAATAGAAATGTTTAACATATGTTGCAGTCTTTTAACTGCTATTTAATTATGTCGTATTAGACTAACCGTTAAGGGCTGCAAAGATAATTTTATGCCTTTCAAAACCGTTCCGCCTCAACGGCCATCGGTCTTTCTGGCTATGTGTCCCGCCCACTGCCACATCGGCTGAGCAATCCTACGAGCAATGTCTGTAACTTTGGTTCTCTTATGAATCTCCTCATTTTTAATTCGAACACGATGAGAAAGACCAAGCATTAGTCTCTCCATTCCCGCTGGTTGATCTTGAGCCTTATGAGACCAATAGTGAGCAACCACGTTTCGCTGCCGTAAGTTATTACTGGCAACATACACTGGTAGCTGGGTAGATATCAAATGGAAACTAAGAAACTAATAAATGAATTCATTCTAATTCGGACCACGCAATGCAGGTCTTGCAAAGAAAGTCACGCCTTCACTTCATGAGTCAATAAATGCAAATTAACAATTGTTCTTATTCGTTACGATTTCATAAAAGCTTGTCTGTAATTCTAATAAAGCTTATTTACAATATATAAGGATAAATCTAAGCACGTTTTTAGGTCTCAGTAATACTGTTCAGTTCGTCATATTACAAAAGGCCTAATTACTATAATAAAGCCTTAAGTGTAAAGTAAAGCCAAAAGACTATACTTCTCTAACTTATTACGCCGCCCGGTAATGACTTATCAATGACAGGGGTAATTTTAATAAACTATACCAAATTATTACCTTAATTGTAAAGATAGTGCATAAAACACTTTGCTACAAAGATAATAACATATTTATCAATTTATTTATAAGAAATAGGTATAATTAGAACAAAAAATGGAAACAATTTTTCTTTTTGTTTTCTTATAGAGGAGATTTTATTAATTCACGTTTTGACATTGACTGTAACCCTTAGAGGTTTGTTGTAAGGATTTTTTACCTTTTGTTTTTCAGTTACAGCTTATTTGAACATTATTTCTTTGTGCAAAAATATCAGAAACCAGTCAATAATAAAACTATTTTAGTCAAAAATAAGCTCGGATGAGGACCTGTTAGCGCGCTCGGTTTGCAATACGGTTGTTAAGCAATATTTGTAAGGACCGGTTATGGGATAGGTGATCAATAATTTACTATCTCGAATCCATCCGTACTTTGGAAGGCACGTTCAGTTCTTTGTTCTGGCTGCATCTGCAATTGTTAATACCCACTAATCCGTACTGGTCCTGCGTGGAGGGTGGCCTATTCTCTCTATTAGATTTGACCCGATTCCATCCATAATGAATGGATGTTGATATCTTTGTATTACATAAAACAATTTGAAAGCTATTGTAGTCTATCGATAGTTAAATTCACTTGATTTTTTTTTCATAATAAGGATGATGCCCGGGTAAAAAAAATCTAATCCGTCAGTCAGATAATAGAAAAATATTAGACATGTATTTTTTATTGCTTCAATATAAAAAGAAATGGCATAGATAGTAGGCATTGAGAAATGAGGGTTTGCTACGGCACAACTATGTAGAAAATGTACAAAGGTGTGACGTCATGAAACGTTTCAACTCAATGTATCGCTGTAATTTATTGCATAAAATTACGTGTTTAATATTCTTTAATAGTCTACCTAATCTAGTAAAGAAATCAAAAGGAGAGTGCAGCTAGGCTGGACAGTATTTGGGAAGCCGCGTAATATCTTTTGGTCCACTGTCACAATGCCACGGTATTCAATCAATGTGTCCTGCTAGTTATGACCTATGGAGCCAAAACGTGGCACATATATTATGCGAGCAATGGAAAGATCTATGTTCGGAGACTCTCTAAGGAATAAAATCCGGTATGAGGTTATGCTAACGTAGCAGTGGGCTGGCCACATCTGTCGCAGAACCAACGAGAGGTGGAGAAGACGGTTTCTCGAATGAATACCAGGCCTGGGCAAACGTAATGTCGGACGCCCCCGGCAAGATAGACTGACGACCTTAGAAAGGTCGCCACCAGTGGCTGGATGAAGACAGCGGGAAGTCGTGTTTTGTTGCGTACTCTGGGGGAGGCCTACGTCCAGCAGTGGACTGCAATAGCCTAATATGATGATGATGAATTTTCTATCTGATGGACAAA